GAGAGAGAGAGAGAGAGAGAGAGAGAGAGGGAATTGGGGTTTTGGGTTTGCGCGCTAAGATGTCAGGAGAGGACGAGGCTCTTCTCCTGAGATCCTCAAACGACATTAACAAAGACGAAAATGGTGGCGCTTCTGCCGAGAACGACAGTGATTTGGAAGCTCAAGATGGAATGAGCGGCAGAAAGAACAGTATCAGTCCGACCAGTAGAAGAGGAGGCGTCGGAGGCTTCAAAGATCTGCTGATCAAGCATTTGGACGGCGCAGGAGGGCTCTCCGGTCGCCGGCTCAGTTTCAAGCGCGGTAGAGAAAACCACAATCACAGAGAGATTAGAGAGCCGCGTTCCCCTGTAGATCCCCACCATCAACATCATAATCATCAGCAGCATCATGAGCCCTTGGCCGGCATGGATGGGAATGATGAGCTTGCCGATAGTGCCCCTCCCGAGTGGGCTTTGCTTCTCATTGGTTGCCTTCTCGGCCTCGCCACCGGTCTCTTTGTCGCGGCTTTTAACAAAGGGGTAAGCTTTCATCTTCCAAAAGCCTCCAATGCATAATCCCGTTCATGTTTTGGAGATCCAGTTGTTGCCCATCATGGGAAAACTTATAATTTTTGTAAAGTGCTGAAAAATATGTGAACTTGGTGCTTAGTTTTACATCACTTTCTCTGCGTTTGACACTTGTTATGCTTCTTCCAATGCTGCCTCTACACCATTGCAACCGCTATTTTTCTGTTAGATTGCAATATGATTGATCAAAGATGGTTTGCATTTGGAATGGTGTCAATTGTTTTGATGGGATTGGTTCTTATGATTGGAAATAAGAGATAGAAATGGTGGTGCTTCATGGTATGTATGTTTGGGTTCTAGAGTTTGTAACAGTATGCGTGTCATTTCTGGTGCTTCTTATTGCTTGTTTCTGTGTGATCCAAGATGGTCTACATTTGGAAATGGTGCCAATAACGGATTAAAAATTGTGCTTCTTGGTTTGATTGTTTAGCTTGTACAGTCTATAACATTATGTCTTGTTTAGTTTGTTCTATTGACATTCATTGACACCTTAGTGCTCATCTAGGTACATGTTATACATGAATGGGCCTGGGCTGGTACTCCAAATGATGGTGCTGCATGGCTCCGTCTGCAGAGACTGGGTGATACTTGGCATCGAATTCTTTTAATACCAGTCACAGGTGGGGTTATTGTTGGCATGATGCATGGTTTACTTGAAATATTGGACCAGATAAGGCAGTCCAGTTCCTCTCAAAGACAGGGTTTTGATTTACTTGCTGGAGTTTTTCCCACAATAAAGGCTGTCCAGGCGGCTGTCACTTTAGGTACTGGTTGTTCTTTGGGTCCTGAAGGCCCTAGTGTAGATATTGGAAAATCTTGTGCCAACGGATTCTCATTAATGATGGAAAACAACAGAGAAAGGAAGATTGCCCTTGTTGCAGCAGGTGCAGCGGCTGGAATTTCTTCAGGTACAACCCAGAATATCTTGTCTACAAGTTGTTTGCATTTATTTTATGAGTTAGCTTCATTTATTGTTTCCTTTGTCTACTAATTCGTTACAATCGTTTATCAAATGCAGCTTAATGCAGTACTGCCTTAAAAATCAACTTAAATTTTACTCTTAAAAGAAATAGAATAAATTTCTTTATGACTGAACTGTGGGAGATTGATACTTCATTAATGAATGTAATTATTTGGTCTGTTGTTCATTCACTTATCTAATTTGCAACATCCAGTTGTCTTTGAGATCACAAAATACAAGTTGTCTATCTCAAGTTTTGTTTCCAGGTTAGAGTAACATGTCAAAGGAACTTTTCCTTCAATATGAGATGCACTCCTCTTCTCTTCATTCTTATCATTGTTATTGTCATTTGTGTGCCTTAATCAAGAACATGAACAAATAATCAGTTTGGCATTAGAATAGTGAGATAGTCTTTATGTACTTTTGCCTGATCCTCTCATCATGGCTCTAGTTTCGTAGTACTGTTCATTCTAGTAAAAAGATGTTTATTTAAGACAACTTTATACAGTTCTGTTTCTCCATTTTATAATCTTTTAGGATTTTTTCTCTCCAGGGTTTAATGCAGCAGTTGCTGGTTGCTTCTTTGCTATTGAAACCGTGTTAAGGCCTCTTCGAGCAGAAAATTCACCTCCATTTACAACTGCAATGATTATATTGGCTTCTGTTATATCATCCACCGTATCTAATGTTTTACTTGGGACTCAATCAGCCTTTACTGTGCCCACATATGATTTGAAATCTGCAGCTGGTACCTAATATTTCCCTCTCTTTCTTTCTTTCTTTTTTCAAAAAGTTTTTGTTTTTTTCATTTTCTTCAGTAAATTTATTGTTGAATATTCATTTATTTTATATGCATGTGTGCATGATACTATTTTTTTTTCAATTTATTTAGATATATATGTATATGCAGTATCTGATTTTGTGTGCGCGTGCATGACATGCATGTGTATATTTTTCTCAGACAACTTTACCTAAGTGGTCCGTTTGAGTGTATATCCACATCACTGTTGGAGTTTGCTCTGTTACTGAGTTGATGGTGGGGGAGTCACTTTGCATATTATTTGTACCTCCATTTCATTTCAACGGTTCCTTTTTTCTATTACATAGAATTGTTCAAAGTGCAACTTTGGTATGTAAGTTTCCTAGGACATCTATGCTGGTGAATTGCTGTCTTGCAAGGAATTTTGAAATTTTGTGGATAAATGATTTTGATGCATCTGTTTTGAGATTTTTTTAAAATACTTTTTGGTGTTGCCTTGCAGAACTACCTCTGTACCTGATATTGGGCATGCTATGTGGTGCTGTAAGTGTAGCCTTCACTCGCTTGGTTGCTTGGTTCACAAAGTTCTTTGACTTTATCAAGGAAAGATTTGGCCTTCCTGCTGTTGCCTGCCCTGCATTAGGTGGTTTAGGAGCTGGTATAATCGCTCTTAAGTATCCTGGAATTTTGTACTGGGGTTTCACAAATGTTGAAGAAATCCTGCATACTGGGAGGATTGCTTCGGCTCCTGGAATCTGGCTGTTAACTCAATTGGCAGCAGCCAAAGTTGTGGCAACAGCTTTATGCAAGGGTTCTGGGCTTGTAGGTGGCCTATATGCACCAAGCTTGATGATTGGTGCTGCTGTTGGTGCTGTGTTTGGGGGTTCAGCTGCAGAACTGATAAATTCAGCCATTCCAGGAAATGCTGCTGTTGCCCAGCCACAGGCTTATGCACTGGTACAGTTCTTTGTTACCGGCCTATCTTGGTCAAGTGTAAAAATATGTTTAGCCCATTAAATATGACTGAAATAGTTTTAAACTTGGGCAGGTTGGAATGGCTGCTACACTAGCTTCAGTTTGTTCGGTGCCATTGACATCAGTCCTACTTCTGTTTGAGCTGACAAAAGATTACCGGATATTGCTTCCTCTCATGGTATTCTTCTGCTGAGATAATTTCTTAACTCTTTCTTCTTTGGGGATGGGGTTGGACATTGTCATTAAGTGCACAGGTTGCTAGTGCTTACTGTTTATTTTTGTATTGTGCAAGTAGGGAGCTGTTGGATTGGCAATTTGGGTTCCCTCTGTGGTAAACCAGCCAATGGAGACTGAACCATCTGATACACAGAATTCAGCAAGAGTATATTCTGTTGTTTCGGCCGCTGAAGAGAAAGATGAAGTTATGCGGAGACAACTTGATAGTGGACATGATTTGGAACTCTCTGTAATAGGAAACACTTCTGACTCCGAAACAGTTAGTGAAGAATTGCTTCTGGAAGATCTAAAGGTTTCGCATTTCTTCCTTTTGTTTTGAGCTGTTTATCAAGAGCTCTCCTCACTCGCTCACACACACACACACAAACACTCATTTTTAATTGTTATTGATAAATTTGACATTTTCTTTTGCAACTGCAGCATCTCGTTTCACTTTTTGACTGTCGCTGTACCTGACTTGCTCAATTGTTCATCCCTTCTTATGCTAGGTTTCACGGGCCATGTCAAAGAACTATGTGAAAGTTCCTGTGAGTGTAACTATGAAAGAGGCAATAAAATGCATGCGTGACAATCATCAGAATTGTGTGTTGGTGGTTGATGATGAAGATCTTCTTGAGGGAATATTAACATTTGGTGATGTTAGACGGTTTCAATCAAAGAAGTCTAGCGATACATCCAAGAGCGATTGTAGATTTTTGGACGTATGTTTTATCTTCCATAAGTTCTGTTCTTAGTTAATGCATAGTTAATCCCAAATTATAGTTCCCATTAATTACTTCTCAATCAACAATAATTATATTCTCCTCTCTCTCTCTCTCTCTCTCTCTCTCTCACACACACACACACACGCACACGCGCATAGATAGGGTTGGACCCCCTCTAGCATGTATTATTTTATTATTATTATAATTTGTCTGATGTACATGTTACAATAAGTTTCTTTATGCGAAATTTGTTTGCTGTGATTTCTCCTATAACAGTTTCATAATGTCCTAATTATATGCGAAATTGAAATCTTTGCAGGCAAATACATGCCTTGTTTCCTCTGTTTGTACTCGAGGAATTAGCTATTGTGGGCGAGCACGTGGTATATTTACCTGTTATCCGGACACTGATTTAGCAATGGCCAAGGAACTAATGGAGGCGAAAGATATCAGGCAGTTGCCTGTGGTTAAGCGTGTCAGAGAACCATCAAAAGAAATAAAGCGAAGAATAGTAGCTATTCTTCATTATTCTTCAATCTTGAACTGTCTCAGGTTTTCAATACATTCTTCATTATTCTTTCAATATAATATAATACCTTGTTTCACCTCCTATATTTGATGCCTGATACACCAATACTAGTAACCTTCCTCTTCATTTATTCTAAGGATGTTTCAGAAACAGTAATCTATCAAAATAAACAGTCTTAGCCACTTCCTAGAACGGTCTTGTTAAACTGTCTTTTTTCCCTAGAAAGTAAAGAGGTGATTGATTGAATCAAAGTTTCTTCGTATATCATATGGTTGCTCTCAGTCATTTTCTACTTTATTGGCCAAACAATAAAACATGGACCTTACTGGATGTAATCTGAATCCCCCTTCCCCTCTCTAGTTACAAATCTTGCTGCTATATACGATTGTGGAGTTGACTGTATATAATAATCTATCATTTTCCTTTCATGGTAACTTATGTTAATAAATTTCAATGCCATAATCTGTCTCATATGAATTTGTGCAGAGAGGAGATTAAATCACAGGAAATCAGTCCATCAACATAGAAAAGAGAATCTCGATGAGGTTACCAATGACCTTTAATTTCTGCCAAAGTGCCGTTGTCAAACCATAACGCGGGACTGCCACCGAAAAGGAGAAGATCAAAGCTCCAAGCAAAGCTGAGGAAAAGAAAGTTAATCAGTCGGAGTGGGTTTTCCTATGCATTTTGGAATTTGACCTCCACATGAGGTTGATGATGAAGTGCACACACACATATATATATATATATATAGATTTCCTGGCCCTTCATTTGAGGGTTCAAATTTCGCAAGGGGTTTTTTTTTTTTTTTTTGATACCACATATTCTTTCATGTAACCTACCAATTTGTTCATTATACATGGAAAGTACAATTCATATGATGTAAGTTGCGATGTAAGTTGCATCACGTAACCTTATAACTGAAGTTCGTAACGGAAGCACAGTGGTTGGAAGACATGAACGAAATACAAATCATCAGTTGAATAAAAAGAGCTGTTAAAATCCAAAGGGATTTCTTTCTCTCTTTCCTTATTTTAAAATCCTATTAAATATTTAGGCTTAATATCACAAGCCGTTAGGTTCTGTCAAAAACTTCTTTAGTTTGCTGACTTGGCATATGTATATATCACAAAACATCCCTGAGGTTCATGCACCTATCACAAATGGTCACTGCGAAATTTTTTAATTTTTTAATTTAAAATTCATAAAATTTTGGTTTTCTTTTTAAAATTTTTTAAAAATATATATTGTATTTTAAATACACGTGACACTATATTTTTGAAGATGTAGGCTCCACATATATGCCACATCAACAAACTAATGGAGTTTTTAAAAAATAATTTATAATTTATAATTAAAAAAAATGAAAAAACCAAGGGTTTAGGGTTCATAAATGGTCCTCAAGGTTAAAATCCTTCTATAAATGGTTTTTTCATTTTTAAATTTTATAAATTTTAAACTATATTTTAAGAAAAACTTCATTAGTTTGTTGATGTGGCATATATGTGGAGCCTACATCTTCAAAAATATAGTGTCACGTGTATTTAAAATACAATATATATTTTTAAAAAATTTTAAAAAGAAAACCAAAATTTTATGAATTTTAAATTAAAAAATTAAAAAATTTCGCAGTGACCATTTGTGATAGGTGCATGAACCTCAGGGATGTTTTGTGATATATACATATGCCAAGTCAGCAAACTAAAGAAGTTTTTGACAGAACCTAACGGCAGGGATCATTTGTGATCACACATACTAACCTTGAGGACCACGAATGACACAAAAAAAAACATTAATGATGCAATCTGATAGTTTCGTAAACCTTAGGGACGTTTTGTGATATTAAACCAAATATTTATGAAGAGAATTGTTATTGGCGCCAAAAAAAAGTCATCATACACTGTTCTTTACAAAGGAATTTAAGTGGTGTATAATGACTTTTTACGAGTGCCGATAACATCTCTTTTGTTAATTACCAATTGATCGTGTGGGCTCGTCCTCTTTTATTGTTCTATTCTATGCATGAAATACGATACAAGTCGGTTTTTTTGTCTCCTACATGACATTGGAGAGAAGTCTTTTTCTATTTATTTTTTTTGTTTTTTGCCATTCTACATGACATCGGATAAACACAGCTAGTTTACTGTCATGTTGATTAATGGCTGTAATGTTCCAGTCTAGGGTAATAATACTGCTAGTTTCCTATGACATCCTATTTCTAATGCATGTCTACCCCTGTAATGTTCCAATTTAGGGTAATAATACTGCTAGTTTCCTATGACATCCTATTTCCAATGCATGTCTACCCTTGTAATGTTCCAGTCTAGGATAATAACATTGCTAGTTTACTGTCATGTTAATTAATGGTTGTAATGTTCTAGTCTAGGGTAATAACACTGCTAGTTTACTGTCATGTTGATTAATGGCTGTAATGTCCCAGTCTAGGGTAATAACAATACTAGTTTCCTATGACATCCTATTTCTAATGCATGTCTATCCCTGTAATATTCCAGTCTAGGGTAATAACACTGCTAGTTTCCTATGACATCCTATTTCTAATGCATATCTATCCCTGTAATGTTCCACGCATGTCTACCCCTGTAATGTTCCAGTCTAGAGTAATAACACTGCTAGTTTACTATCATGTTGATTAATGCTTGTCATGTTGCTATTTCTAATACATGTCCACCAAAGAAAAGATGAAGAAAGAACAAACCAAACCAACTCAAAACAAGCCGAGCCCAGATTGTTAATACTATTATGTCATAGAAGTACATTGTTAATACTCTGTTATAGAAGTACATTGTTAATACTCTGTCATAGAAGTACATCGTTAAACAAAAATGAGATCCATAACTAAAATAGAAACAAAAGATAAATCGATCATTAAAGCTTAAAATACATTTCGAAAATCAACTAAAATTTGAAGAGAAACACATAATTGAAGCAAAAGATCAAAAATCGCAAGTCCAAACCAAACGATGACAATGATGACGACGTGACGAAAGAGGAGTAGAGCTAAGAGCATTTAATCTAGGTTCGTTCGAGGTCTTGAACAATCCCGAAAAAAAAAAAAAAAAAAGTACGATTTTAGAACAAGAAATCGAAGGTGAAATATTGAAAATTGTAGATTAAAAATGAAGAATATAGTTGGACATGAGACTAAGCTTCAACGAAAGCTCCTCTTGGTTTTGGCAGATCTGATTTTTCTCTCTCAAATCCATAGTACAAGGGCAATATGGGTATTTAACACACACAAATAAACTAAAAACATCTATTAAATTGAAAAAATTGATAGCTGACGATTTTTGGTTTTTTTTTTTTGGTGTGTTTATAGTTTTTAAATGGTATAGGGTTTCTTTATAGGACTATGTCTAAGATCGGGTATATAACTAAATTTCTAATACTTTTATTGTCATTAACTCGTTATCCCAATCAAAATAGAAAAAGGAGTCATTTACTTATTCATTTAGGATTTATGTTTTAATTATGTTTCTCTTTGTTGGAAAATAGGAAGTCATTTAATTGTGATTTAGTTTCCTCTTATGTATTGATTGTAATTGATTTAGAGTAATCACCAAGTAACCCATCATGACGTTAAAAAAACTGGTTTTGATAATGATTTATCTTCAAAACTTCCAATGTCTCAAGTTCAAACCCTCATGGTACTTTGATAGCGTGTGTGTGAGAAACCATCATTCATTGTAAAGTTTTGACTATCTCTTGTACTAAAAAAAAATAAACCTCCATCACATTTAGGTTTTTATTTTTATTTTTATCGAACATCACATTTAGGTTTACTTATGCCTTTTTTGGTTGATGGAACACTTATGCCTAAACCTCCCTATTAAAATGGACCATTCATCAATAAGGACAAATGTTATGCGCTAAACCCAAAAAAATCCAGGATACATATAATAGTTCAACCCGGTCTACTTTTAGATTTATAAGATTTATTAGACACAAAGACCAATCGAAATTTACAACACATGCCACCGCCAGCCCAAGGACCAAAAAAGCCTCGTATCCGTCAAGTATAAAAGAAGAGGACTTAAATAGAGTTTACTTAAGGGAATTGTTAATTAGAGATTACTTCCATTTGGATTAGAGAAAATAACTTGGAATTTATCTAAAAGTCGGGAATTTAAAAGGAGAAATTGACAATTCCCTTATTTGGCAACTTAAGCACGGAATTTATTAAGTAATATGGGAAATCGTGGAAATTCGGGCATAAAATTCCCAAGTTTAATTTCCACCAAAATAGGCGTCATTTTACAATTTCTATAGCGTCATTTCACAAGTTTAATTGCCAAAAATTGAAATGATGGAAATCTAAATTCCGTCATTTTAGAATTCTATGTAATTTCCAATTCATTCATCCAAACGGAGGGTTATGGTGTGTTTATTAATGAGGAATTGAATTCCAATTATGAGAATTCATGTGTTTACTTCACATCAAAGAATTAAAAAGTAAGTGAGGCCCATACAAAATTAGGAATTTTATTCCTAATTTTGGAGGAATTCAATTCTTTGGTGGGAGGTGGAATAATTCATGGAGAATTAACCCATTATGAATTCATCTTTTGTACCTATTATATCCTCACACAATTTTAAAATTTTCAAATTTGTCATATATTTTAAAACTCAACAATGAGGACATTTTAGTAATTAGTACCACTCCTACCTCAATTCCATAGGGTTTAGTAAACAACTTCAATAGAATTCCGAAATCTAACTCTGCTCAATCCATATGATTTAGTAAACAACTTTAATATGAATCTAGAATATAATTCTCCTCAATTCATTTCCTCCTGCTAATTCAATTACGGATGAATAAACATCATGTAGATTAGTGTTTTGTTTTACTCATCCACACGACTTCATGATTTCTCAATTTTTGTTCTCTCTACGATTATATTGTTTGAAATTCCCTTTGATTGCAAGTTGCTCCATATTTGCATCTTTAATATTTGATTTAATACATGAATGAATCATAGCCATGCGATATTCAATTAGACATGCTGCATATGAATTTTCTTTTTGCATATACTTTAATCAAACACGGCATGATGGTATAGTATTTTTGCCTTGCGATTGTTTAATACTTGCATATTGTTCATCATTTTTTTGTAATTACTTTATTGGCTCATTATTAAAAATATCATATCATCATGACATGTATGTAACGTTTATCTCTATGCCATATATACACAAACAATTCCGACTTAATGCTTTAAGGCTTTTTATCACAAATGGTCCTTAATGTTTACGAAATTATCACGAATGGTCCTTGAGGTTTTTTTGTGACACTAATAGTCCTTAATGTTTGAACTTTTTATCACAAATGGTCCCTGCCGTCAGAAATTCTATTAAGTGTATGATGTGGAAGATAAGTGGAGCCCACATGTCCAATCACATCGTAACATGTGGATTAAATAAATAAATAAATATTTTTTTGATGAAAATCCATTAAAAAACCATTTAGCCTCTCTCTCTCTCTCTCTCTCTCTCTACTTTCCAAGTTAATGCAGAGTAGATCAAGAGCATAGCAGATCAAGATCAGTCTAGCAGATTAATATAAATAATTGATTCTAATTTGGATTATACGCTAGTGCTTATTCAAAACTGGTCTCATTCAATTATCATTACAGGTATCTCTAAAATTACTTGACTACTTGAGTTCATTTTTTCTTTTTTCAAAGGTTTAGAATATTGAATCTTTGGTTGCGGACATCAATGGCCGATCGTTTACGTGCCCCGGCGAGCTTCTTGACTCAGTCCAATGCTTTGCTTAGAAAGAACATAACCTTTCAGGTCCATCTCTCAAATTTTTTTTCAATCCTAGTTTCATTTTTCTTTTAATATAAATTTTGGACAAGCACTGATCACATTATGTTGATTATTTTGCAGAAACAAAATATGTGCTCGAATGTATCGCTGGTTTTAATACCTTGTTTGCTGTGTTTGATTTTGCTTGGTCTACAAATTGTGACGGACAAAATGAAAATGGAAGAATCCAAAAGGAACTTAAACAAGTGCGATAACAGCACCAGTGGTTTCGATGAAGGGAGCCCTTGTCCCTATCCTGAGAGAGAGAGAGAGAGAGGGGCTAAATGGTTTTTTAATGGATTTTCATTAAAAAAAAATATATATATATATATATTTATTTATTTATTTATTTATTTATTTATTTAATCCACATGTCACGATGTGATTGGACATGTGGGCTCCACTTATCTTCCACATCATATACTTAACAGAATTTTTGACGGCAGGGATCATTTGTGATAAAAAGTCCAAACGTTAAGGACTATTAGTGTCACAAAAATACCTCAAGGACCATTCGTGATAATTTTGTAAACGTCAATGACCATTTGTGATAAAAAGCCATGCTTGAATTTATTTTTGTTGGTTTATACACCTTATGGATCTCTTTTCAAATACTCATAGCCTCATAATTGGTCAAGAACCATAGACACTTGAGTCCTTGACCACCTAATCATATATATGGAACCAAAAGATCGATCCCCATTCATTGATTATTGAGTTCTTTGATAATTTGTTATGCATCAAGCATGGTTCAATAAACCAATTTGCACCAAATCTTATTTCACCAAACCAATAATAGTTTCATGGATCCTTACAACACATGAACCTTCAGTTCTATGAAGATTCCAAAATACACCATGCAAGCAATGAGGATAATTTCCTCTGGTAATGAATCTCATCAAAGATCATTCATTACACAACCAGTAACATCACACTCCTTATGATATACTTCTACCACTAACACCACACTCCTTTTGAAATTCTTATTTTGTTGGACAACCTGCAAGTTTAGAATCAATCAAAAATTGTAACGTGCACAAAAGTTCTCTACTTACAACCCAAACATAACCGAGTGGAGACAGCCGCACTTTATCTTGATCATAAAATCGTCGGCTGGCCCCAAGTGAACACCCTAATCTTCTTATTCGAGGGGAAATGGAATTGGAAATTTAATGGAGAGTGCATCGAGCCTCAGTAAAACGAAAACATTTGTGCACTCTTCCTAATTTGCAACTTTAAAATTAATCAAATGGTAACGTGCACAAAAATATTACTCCACTCACAAGACCAAACTGGAAAAACATAACAAATGCTCATACATTAGATTGCTTTTCTTTTTTAAGCCAATTCTCCTAAAAGCACCTGCAACAAATTAAGGTAACCCAAACATGCATCAGTAAGTTTGCCTTGTGTTGATCAATGAGGTTGTTGGGCCCCATCGTTGAGCTACGAAGAGATATGACTCGTCCAGAGATAATCAAGTGGCATTTAGTTACGGAACGAAAATGTAATATAAGCAAACTCAATCCGAGTGGCCTCAACCCATCGAATGTTGAGTTTCATAGTGCATGCTTGAAAAATGTTCCGTTCTTTGGCTCACTGGTGAAGGAAGTTACCTTTAAGGATGTTGATGCCGACTTCGGCAATGCCAAATTGGTTTCATCCAAATTCAGAAATGCTTGTTTGAAGAGGGTTTCGTTCTCAGACTCACCTACAAAATGTTAAATTTACAGCTGCAGATGCTAAGGGAGCGGTGTTTTGTTATGCTGATCTTTCTTGTGCGGATTGATGTCGTGCATCCTTAAGAGGATGCAACTTCAGAGGAGCAAACTTGACATATGCATGCCTCAACCAAGCTGACGCAATCCATAATTTGAGGGAGTGTGTTTGGAAGGAGCGAATTTACAAGAAATGAAAGTAGATGATGCGAACTTTGCTGGTGCTGACATTCGAAGAGCTGATGTGCACGAAGTTGATTGATTGCAAGCTAGAGATTATCTCGGCTAACCCACTAATAACAACCTAACAAAATTATCAACACAGCCGATGAGTTTGCAATACTAAATATAGGTTCCTACTAGATAAAAGTTTAATTATTTACTAATTAAGTTATATTAATTCACTAAATATTCAAATGATATTTCTTCAAGGCTGAGATTTTTAAAAAAACTATAGAGGGAACTTCAAGATATTGGCGGAGAATACACTTCATTAGTGATACATTCAAATCCTAGGAGAGTCCCACAGAGAGGAAGAAGATGAGAGAGAGAGAGAGAGAGAGAGAATAAAAAGAAAAAGAAGAAGAAAAGAAGAAGAGAGAAAGATTCATCTAAATGATGAAGTTCTAGCCTTTGTTAGTTAATATAAAATTATTATATGTATTTATTTTAATAATTAATTAAATTATATTGTGGTATACCGCATTATTTGAATATGAGGAATCTGCAACCGCATATTGTGGTAAGTTCTATAAACTGCATGTTGCTGTCGACTTTCGTGATAAGTCGGTTTAGATGTGGTAAAACCTCAGTTGGTATTTGCAGTTTTGCGATCTAAAATGCCAGCCCTAACATTTACTATGTGGGATTCTAATCAAAATTGTAATATTTCTGTGAAAATTGTCCCCATATAGTATGTGAAGCTTATGTAGGGTTTATGGAGTCTTGCACTACTGCACCTTCACACACAACACAACGCTCACGCAAATAAACTTCTCAAAGGCAACAAGGTGCACTATGCATGCAGTTATGCAGTTATTGCTCCAATCAAATTTTAAAAAGTACGCCAAAATATATTGAATAAGAAATTTTTTAAAGATTATGCATTTTGCTCATGCGCAACCGTTAAATTTGAAATGAGAGCCGAGGGATTTCTTCATTGGAAGTCGTTCAAATCCTCCCTCTCCCATTTTGATCTTTGATGCAAGTTTTTGTGACTCAGTTCAGTATTGGGTACTACTTTGACTTTGCATCCCTTCTATTTCTCTATTGTATGTTGTGTTGCTCTTTTCTATGGTTGGGTTGTAGTTCTGACTTGTTTACAATTGGGTGTTAAAAGATTATACCCTGTGATTGCTTTTTTTCCTCTCTTTCGTCAAGTTTTCAGTTATTTCTATAACGATAAAATCTCATGTCAAATAAAATTGAAAACCTGACGAAGGAGAAAGAAAAAAAGAAAAAGAAAGGGGCAATCACAGGCTACATCCCAACTCTAGAAAAGGGCCACACATACCCATTATTGAACTAGGCAGATAAACTTGAGGGTTTGATCTCTGGTGCTCTATTTAAATATTTGTTTTCAATTATGCAACATCTTTGGTTTTTAAGTGCAAAGCTTTTTGGTGTCCATTATTTTTGAATTTTACTTTTCAATATTGTAATATTGCAACTGATCCATGATCGATTATCCCATACTCGCCTTTAGTACTAGCTTTAATCTTCTTTTTTGCTTTTAATTATGGTCCATAGCTTTGATTTGATTGTGCACTAAGTAACTTTCAACTTGATGGACCTCACTTACTTTAGGTGTTCCAAAGACTTCATAATGGAAATTCTGTGGCCTCAAATCTTATTGCGTTAAAACGAAATAATCATATCATTATTGCATCCACCAGTTCAGTAGCAGCCTTTCACATCAGCGTGTATAGAAAGCTTATAAAAATAAATAATAAATAATGAAAACTAGACTAAAATAGCATGCACAGGTTCATGACAATTACCACACATCTAAACTAACTTCTTTCTTAGGAGTTGGTCGGAGAAGAAAATACATGTCAACTTCCCATAATGATTGGAAGACAAGGTCACTTATCCTCACAACTTGACAAAAAAAATTAAACAAACAAATTAATGAATGAATCAAGAGCTAACTGGATGATAACCAACATTACCATATATATATATATATAAATATATGTAGAAACTTAAATACTTCTTTCCTCAAAAGATCATAAAAACAAAAGGGGAAATTCTACATCTGTGGTCCAAGAGGAAGCCTACTCATTAGCTGTTGGTATACTGATGAACCATTGGACATGTTTAGACCAGATTCTGACAGAGGCTCCACTTTCGGTTCTCCTTTTGGTAACATGAAGCCCATTTCATTAACCTGGCGCTGTTGTGCAAAGTATGGATGATGAACAGGCATAACAGGGAGTTTGGGTTGGCCTGGACCCAACCCAGCCATTGCCAGATTGGCCAGGCCGGGTTGGTTCATTCCGAAAGAGAAGCCATGGGATGGCCCCAGCTGCTGCCTTCCAGGTAGGCTGAATGAACCCAGTGATGAAGGCCTTTCAAATCTTGCCATGCTGTTGTGAACTTGTGATGGCTCCGGTCTATGCGGATGGGTTTGAATGCCAGCAGAGGAAGCTTGGCCAGACATGGTGTTGGACGGGCCAGAGTTGACATGGCTGCTATTTCGAGCAGCGGGAACATCATGATTGTGCTTTCCCTCATATGTGGTGATCACTGACTTAAGGTCATGGGATGCTCTTTCCACATGCTTCCTCACTGTGCAGCCAGCATTGGTGCACTTGTAGTAACTCCTGCAGAAAAAAAGAATTTTGTTTCATCCTCATACAAATTAAGAAAGAACAAATCAAGAAAGAAAAAAATTAATCGTCATAACGAGTAATAACCTTGGATTTGGATTGCCTTTCACAACCTTCTGCCCATACTTGCGCCAACGATATCCATCATCAAGGATATCTACTTCACTGGTTGTCTGGACCACGACTCTAGGCTCACGAATGGCTCTGGTAGCTCCACTCATTTCCGTTGCATAGGCTTCAATTTTCCTGAAACATCATAAGTGTAAAGACACTTTTATGGTGACCCCAATGTCTAATACTTGAGATTGTTCACCAAAAGATAGAAAGAGGTGAGCAGTAACCTTCTTTTCGACTCTGATTCATCTCCTTCACCATCATAAGCCAATGAAACACTGCCATGTGTCCCTCGATCATCTTCATCTTCATCATTAGAAAAGGTAGATGACGCGTCCACCACATCACCTGATTCAAGGTGCGTACCATTCTGAGCCTGCATAGAAGAGGATTGGTTGCAGTAGTCAGGGCCCACAGATGCTGAAGAAGTCACCTCAAGGTTTTCATGCTTCCAATCAGGAGCTCCAACATTTGCCTTTTGTGTACTTGCCCAAACTAAATCACCATCAGCACCACTCTGTGGTCCACCTTGTTCAGGGATGTCTGGTCGCATGTCATTAAGTGGGTTAGATGATCCAATGGCGGCTGATCGACGATTGGGAGGAGGTTTAGGGTGGTTATGGGCCCCTTTGTAGATGATCTCTGTTATATGACCCTCATGAGATCGTTCAACCTTTTTCTTAACCTGACAATTTGGATGCGTGCACTTGTAATAACTTCGTGGATACTCACTACCTTTTACTTGTTTCTGTCCATATTTTCTCCAATTATATACATCTTCGGATGGTGTACCACCAGCAGCAGCAGCCATGGAATCTCCACTACCTCTTTGATCTCCTTCTTCATCTGGTTGCTCATCAAGGGGTGGAGAATGCTCAGTACTGCCACCAACAGTATCAAAAGCCCTTGGATCTGCTGAGTTAGCTCCATTATCTTTTTCAGTAGATGTGCGAGAGAAGTCTGCCTGGAGCTGAAGATTGTTTGCATTCTGGTTTGGAACTTTTGTTGGTTCTATACTTTGAGAAGAATTTTCTGACTGGACTGACACCTCGATGCTGGGAAAAGATTGCTGTGGAAAACTAGTTGAACCCATCTGTATACAGGAGAAAAAATTACTTATGAACTCATGAGAGATATTATGACATAATGCATTTTTGTTTGCAGCGGGAGTATACAAGGACTCTCCTCTTAAGTACTGACCAGTGGTTATCTAAATTTCACTAAAAAAAATACAATAGAACTAGCATGTGCGAATACTTGTGTGTTCTAAAATGAGGAAAAATCGAGCGGGAAATTACTTTGCTAGTTGGACCAAGAAAGAAGGAGCCTGATTCCGCAATAGGCTTGAAAGCAAATGAAGTATTTATGTCCTCAAAGAAATTAGTTTTATCAGGGCCCTCTGTCATTAATGTGGAACTCCTGCTATGACCATTTGAGACAAACGGAAATTTTCCAGTTGTTGGAGATGGCTGTGCCTGCAAGACATCCAGAAGAAAAGTTTTAACATATGGCAGGACAAATGTCAGCGAGACTAAACTTACTTTTAAATTTCATCACAAGTGGAAGCAAATTTTAACTTAAAGCAGGGATACTAAACAAACTATCTCTATAATAATTTACATCTACATGCCCTATTTCCAAGGAAAGCAATCCCAAGTCAAATAACTTGATATGATGTATTACAAGAATATGAATTTCAATTTCCTGAAGGTACTCAAATCATACCAAGGTGAAAGGCATGTATAGAACCAGTTAATAGCTCATCCCTGTACACAAGATACAGATATCTGCAATTTTGCATTCAGGTTAATCATAAACTATTTTTAAATTCAAAACTCTGCCAAAATATGCAAAAACCGATTATCTTGGTTTCTCAACATTTTGTCCATGTTCCTACCATTGCAAGAACAAAAAATATTTCACCAACCCCATATGCACGCATTGAACTTGATGGGATCAATTTTCCGTTTTAGTCCATTAGAGGCAAATAACCCTATACCAACATACAAACCCTCAGCCCCAGTAAAGGCAAGATCTGATCCCGGGACTTTACCTAAACTAGCTAGCACCTTCCATGAAATCAAATTTTTACTATGTACTAACAACACAATAAAAGTAAAAATTAACAAAGAAGCAAAAATATAAGGAAAAGAAATTATATTTAAGCACTACAGATATTTTCGAAGTTGCAATCTTACCAATGAATTTGAAAGGAAAACAGGAGAGTCTAGCAGTATGGTTGGACTGAGACCAGGAGGTATTGTCAGATAAGGGGACCGAATGTCGGAATTAAGTGAAAGGTCAGAAGATCTAATGCTTTCTGTATTCAGCCGCGGAGCGTTAAACCCAGCTCTGGCTGCAATCCTTTCCACAAGCCCTCCGCGTGAGTTTGACTTGTACTCCGAAAATGAACCCACTTCATTTAGTTCCTCACCAGAAGCATTGCCTTGTGACAAATTTTTTCCATTGGAATCTCCTTCTTGAGATCCCAAAAAGAACTCCGCAGTTTTATTACTGCTGGGAGGTTCCAACATTGATCTTGAGCCTATGTCGTCAACTAACATTGAAGAGAAGAAGGCTCTTGGGCTTGGACTTGGAGGCACCCAATCTCCAATTATAGCAACGTTATCATCGATGCCAGCCATGAAACTTATACCAGTTTACTGCTATCAGCACAAAATATGGATCACTTGCAATGAAGGCGTTGCTCCAAGATCCAACTCCTGAAAGCTTTGCAATGAATGAAAAACAAAGGAAATCCATTTCAGAGCCACATAATATTTAAATACCAAGAAAACAAGTTCGTAACTAAAAAAAATCAATACCCCAGAAATTTACATTGTGACTTGAGTTTTATTAGCTTCCAGAGAAACATCACAGGAAAAAGCAAAAGGAAAAAACCCTTCGGATTTTAGCTTTTCAGTTATATAACCATCCGGTTTGGTTAAAATAAATCGTCATTTTTTTGGGGTGGCGGATAGGGACCGTGGAAGAAATCTAACAACCTGAAAACACAAGATCAAAACAGCAAAGCAAACACAAAACAAAACCATTTTTGGGTTGTCATTCTGAGGAGCAAAATCAGGAAACGATGAATGAAGTTACCCTCACGGTCTTCATATGAATTAAGATGCCATCACAATTTTCATAGGAATAGTAATGGGAAACATTAACACAACATTTTTTTTCCCTCATGGATGATTTTTCAAAAAAAAGAAAGAAATTTAAGCCAACACCTTAAATCACATCCATAATTGGTAAATAAATGAGATTAATAAGGCAAGGCCACTCATAAACTTCCAATCCAGAGTGCAGGTTCACCTTGTAACGGGAGAAACGTTACAAACATACATTTCAATTTGAAGAATTATAACCTTGTAAATGATTTGACATGATAGACCCAATTTGCTAGATCCTGACATCCATGAAGATCTAAGCATGAGAAAACTGAAAACTAAACAGCTCCCCCGAACCCAGAGAAAAAGGAAAAAGGTTATGAATTTTTGCAATATTCAATGAAGGAAAACAAACCCATGTTACAGAATTCAGAGAAGGGTGTGTATGGGGTCACAATTATTATCATTACCCTTGTTGAAAGAGAATATAAAAAGTGAGGTACCTTGAGTTTGCAGAGAAGGCATTGATGTCAGAGATACACAAGAGTTTCTCAAAATTGAGAGACAAAGCACAGAAAGAGTAATAAAAAGCAAATTGAATGTGGAAAGAGAGAGAGAGACAGAGAAATGAATTGAAATAGAGGGTAAGGATTAGAAGACAGAATAAAAATGATTAAAGATGATTACCTGAGTGATTAAGAGTCAAGGCCCAGATGATGTTGAAGGAGACCAAAGACCAAAAACTCCTCCTTTGACCACCACCACTACCCACTACGTCCCAACCACCCCTACCCCTCCAAACCCAAATTCACTATTCTGTCAAATTTCCTTTCTCTCTGTTCAATTCAGATGAAACCCAGAAAGGGAGGCAATTGAAAGCCAAAAAAAAACACCTCCTTCCTTATCAAATTCCTCAAAGTTTCTCTCTTTATCTCCCTTTGGTTGAGCCCAAAATTGATATTGATATTGATATTGATATTGATATGATGATGTTCTTTGACAAAATTACAAAAAGCAAATCAATACTTTATTGTTGTTATTTTTTACATTATAAAAATAAGGGGAAAAGGAAAAAAGAAGGAGAAAGGAGAGGGGTGAAGTTGCAATGGTGGTGGACCGGAAATGGATGGAATCTTTGAAGAAAGAGAAAGAAAACAACAAAAAAAAGTAACACCACAATCAACAGACAGAAAGAAAAAGAGCTCAAAATCAAAGCTTTACATTACATTTCACCCATTCTCATATTTCTCCTATTAGCATTACTTGTCTGTTAGAGACCGAATTAGACTGCTCATTATTCTCATTTTTTTACTAGGCTTCTCAAGGACCTATGTCTCTCTCCTTCCCTCAGCCAATCATAGCATGCCATCTGGTCCCTGTCCATGACATGCAAGGGCATTGTAGTCCATATCAAAATTCATGATTAGTTCATGATGGAACAGTAGGGTGAGAGTTGGTGGTAGGTGATTGCACCCTGGTTGTAATAATTGGTTTTTTATTCTCTTTTTTTATTTATTTTTTGAAAATGAAATGAACATAGAAAATATGTGTAACGCTGGGGTGGCCAGAGTGTTTAGCTGCCTAACACCTGTTTCTGTATCCTTCAAATGTGATGGATGTTGTAACTGCCTTGTTGCTGCTATTGGCACATCCATTGCAGATTTACACTTCAGCTTTTTTCGTATTAATTTTTGCTTTTATTACTATTATGAATAAATTATCATTACCTACCAATTTTAGCTTCAATCATAAAACAAATGGCAAAAAATATAACTATGGTTACATCCCGAAAATATGTAGGTATTTTCACTTTCCATCCAGTCACTCGAATAACATAAAATTATCATACTGTAAATTTAAACTACACATTCATACATAGACAGAACACTTATGTTGATTGGACTCAATACGGTTAAGACAAATGAGATTGAGATATTCATACATAAACTAAATCAAATGAGATTGAGATATTCTCATGTTTATTAAACATGAGAAATATGGTTGTGAACTTCTCAGGAAGAGGACAATTGGTTAAGACACTATTTGCATAGGGATGGTCGGAGCTATCAAGGATGAAAAAATTGTAATGACACCCAACCTGATCGAAGTGCCATCTAGTATGATTTTAGACACATAATCAACAACCTATGAATGAAACAAAGACCCATAAGTTAACTTATTACATAGAATGTTCAGGCCAAAAGGATAAAATTAGATTATAAGTTTTTTTATTAATGATTTTAAATATACATTTTCCCCCCTCTCTCGAAAAAAAAACTTTCTTGTAACGAGGATAACACTGTTTTGCTATCCCCAACCAATAATATAATGACACGTGAAAAAACTATCTTACGTGTTATTATGTTATTGATCGGGAATAACAAAAAGTGTTATACCCGTTGCATGAGAGTTTCTGTCCCCCTATACACACATGCTTACGCAATACATCCACTACAAAATTTAAAAACCATATATTTTTAAATGCTTTTACAATCCCAACAATAACTTTGTTGTGAACCATGGAGAAACAATAAAAAATAGTTGGCCTTAGAATTAAGAATAATCTGGCAATAAAATTTTCATTAATTGATGAATTTGAGGGGAAAGAAAAAGGATGTGTAAGCATGAGAGATAGTGGAGAAAGGGTTAGGGGCTATGATAGATTATGAATTTGATTCTATATAAAGGACTAACAACAAAAAATAATGATTGGTTTATAACTCGCTATAGTTGTTAAATTGATTCTGTTGTTTGTTGTGCTAATATAGATTAATATTATATTAGGAGGAGGATCCAATTCTCTAATCTAATCTGAGTCTGACCATGCAGTGTGTTTTACAACTTAGATTAAGGTCTGGTTTTGAATTGTCCACTTTGCTCATAGTTATTCCAATCACCATATAGTTTAATTACGCCTCTAACACTGTGTACGTACCTTCTTCAAGGAATTGAAATGGCAGCACAACAATAGTAGTCCCTAAAGACTAAAGTAGCTATGTTGTTGTTATTTTTTTTTAAAATATAAAGGATAGTCTAAATTACAAGAAGGATGTGGTTTATCATACATAAACACGCTATCAAAATGGTAAGAAAGTTGGAACCTAAGACCACCGGTCTTTTTCTATGTTTCCGGTGTTTTTTACCCTATGAATTAATTTTAGTGGATCATAAACAAAACAATAGCAATAACTGTGGAATGTAGTGATGGAAGAAAATCATGACTAATGAGTGGTTTAAAAGACTAATGGGGAATTACAAATAGAAAATGACCAAAAGTCTAATAAAACAACAAAAGTAACAAATAGATACCCATCAATCCATAAAGCAAATACATCTTAAGGTGACTAAGTAAATTCATCATCTAATAAAAAATACGAAATTTCTCAATTCGTGAAATGATACGTGATTCATCGTAAAATTTATATTAATCAACAATTAACAAGTATTTACACAAATGACAAGTGAGAGAATCTTGAACCATCTAGATTTTGGATTAGGGTAACATTAAATTAAGAAGAAAAAGAAGAAGATTAGTGATAAGTTGGTATGAGAAAATCAGAAAGGGAATTGAGCCAAAAGCTGGCACCAGAGGTCCATGTAGAGAGAAGGATAGTTTTGTTTGGATGTGGTGAGCAAATTCCAAATGGAGGGATGAGAATTGACACCAAAATTTAACCTCCAACAAGGCATCACTGCCAACACAACACGCAAACCATGTAACAAGTCCATATCCATAAAACCATACCAAAAAAATTTATATCAATTTTTATTCACCGCTAACAAACAGCGTCTTGTCTTCCTTCATGTGACACATTGAATAAAAAACTTAAAAGGACGTGTCCCTATTTTCCCATTTCGACTCAGTCAAAAAGATGCTTTGACCGAGTCTTTTTCCATTGCAACTCTCTCTCTCCCTCGTCACACTGCGGTTACCAATGCTTTTTTTGTTCTTCTTGTTTTTTTAATCAAAACCAAATTCTCCCAGTCCTCCCATGTGGGTTCACTTCAACCTTCAATCAATCAACCTTCAACAGTTTGCATACAATTAGGCTATGAATTATGCTATAGGTCCCACAACTCACTTTCCCCACAGTCACTTATGCGTTCGTAAACGACTGAATCTAGTATTTCTCATAGCATGTACGAAATTTAAATTTCATGATATTTAGTTATATGAGCTAGAATATATGAACACAGTAGGGTAATCAACTGTGAGATGTACTTAGAAAAATCCTATTTAATAATTCGATTGATGTTAATGTTTAGAATTCCCTAAAGTGGTTACATGGGTCTCATGGAGTGGCTCGGCTTGCTTGCTTCGGAGTGGAAAAAATTGCTAGAAGACAAGAGTCACAAAGAAAGAGTTGCATTACAAAACAAATGGGGTAAAATCTTAGATAACAAACTTGAGTAAGAAGCTCAGTAGGTTAGAGCTTATTATTGGGAGAAAACCTGTCTTTATGTCAGTCTGTGTGCTCACTAGTCAATCAAAGGAGGGGACCTCTACATGGATTTTTGACTTCATGACATGACTTCCTCCTACCTATAGCTCTGGGCTGCTACATCAAAATCTCTTGCAACTTGCAATGTCCAGCATTGTTTTCTCAGAGACCTGGGCCTGAGGGTTATGGCCCCCAACTTCTTGGTTTGGATTTTGCCACTGGCTCTCTTATGGCTCTCCTTCACTTTCTTTGTAGAAGGCCCATTGGAGGCCGAAGGGAGAGAGAGAGGTTTGAACGCCCCGTCCTAGACATGAGATAAGTGCTCTCAACCACTGGAGCTCGTATAGTGGTGATTTAGAACTATAAAGCTCTTGAAGATGAAGGACTTATATACAGTAAGGACTAGTCGTTGGAACCAAACAAATCCCCTTTCAATTTATCCTGCTGCAAGAAGACAAACTAGACTTGATGAAAACTACTCCAAATGAGGCATGAGGCAGTAACCAGAATTTGAAAAAATTTGACTAGAGAGACCTACCTATAAGCACATGATTAGAATAATCACCATTTATATATTTGTTAAGTAGAAACCAAAACAAAAACAAAAGAAGTTGAAATAATTAAGACATTTATTTATGAGCAGTACCGACAAGAAAATCTGCACATAATCCTCATAGAAAATCCATCATGCCGAAAGAAAATGCAGATATTGTGGAGGGATAATGGTTAGGGGCTGGCTTAGAGCTAATTAGATTCCCATAAGTAAAGCTCCATAAAGTAATCTAAAGAGAGCCCTAAGATGTGAGATTTTGACTAATAAATGATATGTATTCATTCATAATCCCAACAGAGAAAACAAATCCACATGTTTTGTCATCATCACCAAAGACAAATTACTGCTAAAACTTCAAAACCCTGAGCTTTAGGTGCCCACTTATTCCTGCTGACTATATTTGACCTACATCAATAATGGTCAGCTTTAAACTATTTAGTTCAAACCAATTTAAAATCCAAACATCTCAGTCTGATAATCTCATGCTCTTGTGTTTAAGATTGGAGCAAATTTTGAAGGAGCAAAGAATTTTAGATGGAATTGAGAAAATTCAACTCTCTCTCTCTCTCTCTCTCTCTCTCCTTGTGTTGGATGTAAATTACTAGAAACAGAAATGAAGTCTGTGGTAGACCTTCGAATTTCATCTTCAACTGTTCAGCTCTCGTATGAAACATAGCACCTAACTTTTCGGGGCTGATCACCTATTAAACTTCCACACAATAATACAGCTTCCATATTTCATGCCTTAATTCAGTCTGCCCACTTGCTCAACTAACATTTTTCTGCTGCGACCACCATGCAGTAGCCAGGGAAGTCTTCTCATACGAAAACGCAACAACGTGTAATGCGTGATTGGCTTAGGATATTGTCATCTAGCATTCAGGTGCATGGAAGTTTCTCTCTGAGTCCTTGCACCTCAACAGCTAAACTGTAACATATGGCACCAACAAACAAGCATGTCAAACCAATTGATTTTTAAAACGGACAAGCACTCTTTTTTTTATTTTTTATTTTTATAATCAAATAGAATCTTCATTAGATAAACTTCAACAGTACAATCAAAGACATCAACAAGATATCTAAAATACCAATTCCAAGGGGGTAACAAACTAACATGCTAAAATCAAAATTAACGCGGACAAAACATGAGCGGCATTAAGGAGCGGGTTTAGGGAGCAAAATTTGATTGAGAACATAGACTAAAAGGATTGATGGGGAACTTCAATCTAACCATGGCTCAGAAGAAACCACCACAAGGGGCTTTTTATTCAACATGCCCCAATGGACTTATTCAATAACCTAAAAGAAAAAAGACGAGAAGAGAAGAGGCGGAGTAGGGGCAGTGACGCTTCTTCCTCCTCCCCCCTCTATAGAATTTTCCTTTAGAACCCACAGAGGGAGAGAGCGGCTAGGGTTTCTTGAGAATGTTGGTTAACCACAAACGGACAAGCACTCTTGGTAACTGGAATATGGTATTTTTTTCGAGTTGGGTTGAACAATACCACAAAGGCAAAAGATGACAGATTTACAAGTGGAAAAATAGCTATCTTACCCTGAAACTCCTTTAAAATCCTCATTCACACAGATTCACTGCTTGTTATATACTGGCCAGAATCACGCAGAAGTTGCAAGCTTGCCGCATTAGCTTGTTTCATGTACAGACATTTTAGCTTAATACATGAGATCATTCTAAAGACCCCATGAGAAACAGGTTCAAGCTGATGGGGGAAGTTCAGCAATTAGAGGGTGGAGCTTGCAAAGGTGACACTTGGGTAATGTATGAATTTATGGCTCAAATCCTTCAAACAATCACAGAAAACTATTTAGAAAATTGCAAATGATTTCAATTACTCGAGACTGCTATTGCTACAACTTTACAAAACGCTGTTCCCACATATCAGCTTTCTATGAACAGAAACCAATTGTGATGGATGGACAATGGTAAAACAGTAGTTAGCAAAACTGTGAGAGGAACATAACCCAAATACAAAGAAACAAAGTTTTTTTGAAGCCTTGGTTATAGACATCATTTTCCAAATGAACGAATACACACTTTACCAGATTTGAGCTACTAAAAGACTCCATTTACTCTGTTCTCCCTAAGCATTTCTTCTACCTCTCTCTTTGATTCACGGTTCTATTATATACAGCCCGCATAATGTGAAGGATCGATCGAATCCCTGTTTTCGATCTCAGAAACTTCGTTAATTGGAACCACAACCGGATAGCCATAGCTTTATAGTTTAATTGGTCTTTTATGGTTCCTCAACAACAGTCTCTTTCAGCGAAAAGCCATCGAGGACATCGTTCTCTGAATCAACCTGAAGCTCTTTAAACATAGCCATAACCTGAATCATGGTTGGCCTGCGGAATGGCCTGTCATCTAGGCACTCAAAGGCAATCCTCAGATACTGGTATAGTTCAGCCTCACCGGATACCTCTGGCAACAACCCCGTGTCCAGTATCTCATTACATCTCTTATCCCTCTGAAGCTGCTTTGCCCATCCAACCAGGTTGTTGTCATCACCAAACGCTGACGGGTCGATAGGCCTTTTCCCAGAGAGAAGCTCTAGCAGTATAACACCATAACTGTAGACATCCCCTTTTGCGGTGCATCTAAAACTCTGGTAGTACTCAGGGGGAACATAACCTGGAGTACCTGCAAGGGTGCTCACACTAAGATGAGTATCGAGGGCATTCACCAATCTCGCCATGCCGAAATCAGATACTCTGGCCTCAAAATTTTCATCTAGAAGAACATTGCTAGACTTCATGTCCCGGTGGATGATATGAGGTATGCAACTATGGTGAAGGAATGCTAGACCTCTAGCAGAGCCTATGGCAATCTTCTTTCGTGCTGCCCAATCCAGCCTAGAGACCCCTCCCTTAGACTTATCATGAAGAACAGCCTCCAGACTTCCCCATTTCATGTACTCATACACAAGAAGTCTCTCCTCCCCAATCTTGCAGTACCCCAACAATGGAACCAGGTTTCGGTGCTTGATTTTCCCAATAGTTTCCATTTCTGCCATAAACTCCCTGTCTCCTTGACCTGTGACATGAATAAGCTTCTTAATAGCAACAACACAGCCATCTCCCAGTTGTGCCTTGTAAACCTCACCAAACCCTCCAGTACCTATCAGGCTGTCTGCACTGAAACCATTTGTTGCTTCAAGTAGATGGGCAAAGGTCAGCTTCCGCAAAGGTTTCTCGAATGTGGCTATGTTGATGCTGAGCGGCTCAGGAACACTGGAAAGTTTCCAGCTGCTGCTGCCTGAAGTTGGAAGGCTTTCAATATACTTCTCTCTCTTTTCCTCCTTCTGCTGGTACTTCTTCACTCGATATAGAGCTAATGCAAGTATAAGAATGCAGAAGAAAAAGAATGTGATGCCAATTACCATTCCTGAAGTCATAGATTGCTTTTTTCTTCCAACTCTGGAATTTGCTGAGTGCCTTTGAGAGCTACATGCTCCCAAGGGTACCCCACAAAGGCCAGAGTTGTTCTCATATCTGGATGCTGGGAAAGTGGTCAGCTGACCTCCGGAAGGGATGAGACCGCTGAGGTTGTTGTTAGACACATCAAGATCACTCAGAAAAGAGAGAGTCCCCAATGATCCCGGCAAAGCGCCCTGAAGATTATTGTGAGAGAGATCAAGGACTCCAATTGCTTTTAATCCTCCAAAGCTATCAGGAATATTTCCAGTTAGCATGTTGTGCCCAAGGTTGAAGACTTGCAGATAGGACAGTGTACCTAAGTCGTCAGGAATGCTTCCAGACAAGGAATTGTAGGATAGATCAAGGTAGATAATGCTGCCATTACTGGTGAATGTGTAAACTGTCAAGCCAGAGTAAATTCTAGTTGATGGGCAAGAGTGCACCATAGGAAACTTTTCCAGTCTCTCTGCTCGGATTCCCTCAAACTCAACTAGTCCTCCTGCACCCCTGCAGGATGTCCCACCCTCATTTCTCACAAATGCAAACTGCTTCCCGGAAACGGTTCCAGGAGAGACTAGGCCAGCTTGGTTGGCAAGCTCTGATGGGATAGAACCGCTTAGGTCATTGCTGTTTAAATCAAGCCAAATAAGGCTCTGACACTTGCCAAGCTCAGCTGGAATCTGTCCAGAGAGTGAATTGTTACCCAACTGAAGTATAGCAAGCTTAATGAGATTTCCAATACCAGAAGGGATATCTCCCGTAAGGCGGTTGCTAGCTAGTGACACCCAAATCATATTGGTGCATTTGGCTATGGACCGGGGAATGGTTCCAGTGATGAGATTATTGTTGAGAATCAGAGTTTCCAGGTTTCCTCCATTGATGCAAATACCTTCTGGGATTTCACCAGCGAGGTTGTTTGCCCACATAACCAAGTCAGAGAGATTTGGCAGGCTCCAAATTTCTGAAGGAATTGGACCACTCAGACTGTTAAAACTAAGATCAATAGCCTTCAGGTTCTTGCAGTTTCCAAGTTCCGAGGGCACAGTCCCGGAGAGAAAATTGTTGGCTAGAAGTATCTTTTCCAAAGCTGAAGGAGCATTGGAGGAGCAAAACCCTGAAGGGACGTTCCCCGTGAAGGCATTAGAACTGAGATCGAGCACTTGAAGCCGAGTACCATTGGTAAGAGACAGTGGCACAGGACCAGTTATGTTGTTGAATGGCACATATAGGTATCTCAAACTAGGAAGACTACTTACAATGGAACTAAGGAAATTTCCATAGAGCTGATTGCGACCAAGATTGAGACTAAACAAAGAAGAGCAGGATGCAAAACTTGAAGGCAACCCTCCAGAAAGATTGTTAACAGAGATATCAAGTTCCTGAAGAGTCCCACAAGCCCTTCCTAGTTCAGTTGGAATTTCACCAGAAAAATGATTATGACCCAAAAACAGTTGCCTCAATTTCTTGAGATTGCCCAACAAAACACCAGGAATTTTGTTCTCAAGCTTATTATTGGAGAGGTCTAGTGTCTCCAGAACCTGACAGTTACCAAGGCTTACAGGAAATTGATCCCCAGAGAGTGCGTTGTGTGCTAGCTTCAGCAAAGTGATGCTTCTGCACTGCCCAAAATCAAGGTTGGAGAATTTTCCAGTGAAATTGTTGCTTGAGAGATCCAAATACTTGAGAGATGCTGAGGCCTTTGCCAGGAAGCTGCTTGGTATTTCCCCAGAAAAAGTATTGTTTGAAAGGTCAAGGGTTGATAGATTCTTGCAAGAAAAGAGAGAATCACTCAGTTTTCCAGTGAGCTTGTTAGTGGAAACATTGAGCAGATTCAGATTTTGACATGTCAACAAGGCTGTATCAGAAATCTGATTGTGAGAGAGGTCAAGCTGCAGCAGAGAAGAACCAAAGCTGAGACTGCCACCAGGGATTGAATTGTGAGAGAGGTTAACAGAAGCAAGATTATCACAACCCAGAAGAAAAGATGGACTTGGAAAAGGTTCAGAGATGTTGTTGGAGGACAAGTCCACAGTCTCAAGTCTACATGAGGTTCTGTTGGAGACAGAGAGATCAGCAGCAGAGAATGAATTGCCTTGCAGATAGAGATTTTGGAGACTCGGCAAGGCCGTGAGAGTTGGAAAGTGTAGGCTGCCAATGAGACCAGCGTTGGAGAGGTTGATGGTGATGACGTGGCCATCAGAAGAGCAGGTGAGGCCCCTCCATGAGCAGAGAGGGGTGGCAGAATCAGCTTTCCAATCAGACAAGAAACCATGGGGATCAGATTGAACAGAGGATTGTTTGAAAGCCAACAGCAGCCCCACCTCATCATCATCACTCTGGCTTTGTTCTTGTTGTAGTTGTTTAGATGAAGACAAATTTCTGGCGCCTGAGGCCAAACTTAGGAGCAGGTAGAAGTGAAAAACAAACAGCAAAAGAAAGCAGAAGAATCCCATCATGTACTAACAGCTACCCCCTCCTTGTTCTGATCTAATCTCTCTTCATCATCATCATCCTTTCAGAAACTCATGAAAAAAAGAATCTTTTTTTGCAGATGGCTGATGAAAACAGCACCAACTATACAAAATTCATTCACCTAAACTTAACCAGTTTGCTTCATTTCAGATCTGAGCTGAACCTTGCAAAATTTCCACACATTTTCTCAAGTGGGCTCTGCTTAGAAGCTGCAATCAAAAGACCAAAAAGAATTAAATAAACAAAAGGGTAGGTGGGATTGGTGGTGGAAATCACTATCAAGTATCAAACATGTATGAAAGCATCAAACTTTGCAAGAAACACATCAAGAACACAAACATTTATGAGCTAACAAATACCATGAACATGAACGAAAGAGAAAATGAAAAAAATGAAAAAAATAGAAAGTAAGAGTGATGGGGGCTTAAAGGAAGAGAAGCTCGTGCTGAGCTATAATGGGTAATCAGAGATTGTTAGCGAAAGAAAGGAGAGGAAGATACCTCGGAGTGACAGAACCTCTGGGTACGATGTTCAGAAATGTCGGGCTGTGATACTCAAACCAGCAAGTACAGTACTAGCATTTCATTTCAGTCGTTTAATGTTTTCTTTTTTCTTTTCTCTTTGACTGCCAATTTTGGAACCCAGAAGGCAAAACACCCCCAAAACTGTTCATGTGAATGTGACACTCTTGCTTTCTGCAGATTCACACAAGTCTGCAGCTTGCAGGATCAGAAGGGTGAAATGATGAACAAAAGATAAATGGCTTAGTTTAGAAGGAGAGGAAAAAGAAAAGAAAAAAAAGAAGGAAAAAAAAATGGCTTGGAGAAAGAGGAGGGAGTTTTTGATGCTTTAGAGGAAGTAAAGTGAGACAGAAACAAGAATATAGAATACAAAGGCAAGTTGGTGGGCTTTGGGGGAGAGAGAAAGAGAGAGGGAGTAAATTGTGGGAGTGATGCCCCCCATCTTTTTCTCTATTTTCGGGGTCCAGTCAAACTTGGGATATGATTCCTTCTCTCTCCCTCTCTTTCTTCTGTCAATTTCTGACAATTTCGGGGCTCTTGGGCAGTTGGACGGATTACCCCGCACGTACGTCTCTAAATATGATTGTGATATCCTTCCTTTTTTTATTATCATTGTTATTATTTTGTTACCAATTTTGAAGTAAACACTGGATTTTTTTAGAGATTTTCTATTTAAACACCACACTTCTCTTAATTTATCTCATGTTCTAAGTTCACCTCATCTTTTAATTTAAATTTTCACAATTTCTAAGAAAACTCCATTATCTTCTCAAACTAGCCTTAAATACACCCCAAATTGAAAAAATAAGAAATAAAAGATATTTTCTATTTAAACTCCACAATTTTCTTTGCTCCCAGCAGAAAAAAACAAAAACAAATGGAACCTCAAACTCGAAATTTAATACTTTTTAGATAAAGATAACAACTTTACCTCTCTCCAAGTAGAGGAGTTTGTAGAAGAGTTTGTCTTGATCTGATCCAATTTATACTTTACCTCTGTCCTGATCCAATTTAAATAGAATGTAGAGGAGTTTGTATTTTTCTAAAACTTAATATGAAGAGTGGTGCATTGTGTGGGGTGTGTGTATAGATGTACTAGGGTTAATTATTAAGTTGGATGACTTTTTTTATCTTTTTCCACAATAATAAAACTTACAGCTTAATGATTTAAGTATTTGGGTGAACAAAGAGAAGTGCGGGGTTTAAATAGAAAATCTTTTTCCTTATTTACTTAATAATAATTGGATTTGATGACTAAATGGTTTTCAAATTGGTAAAAGATGATCCAGAAAATGAACAGTTGGATTTCCAGTTCACATTGTCAAAGGAGAATGGTAACTAATATTCCTTCTTATCTAGTGTTACATCTATCACATTTATTAAGTATACTTCTTTGAACCATATTTAGAGGACACATTTTCTATAAGTCTCATTCACCTTTACGAAAAATGTGATGTACAATTAATATAATTATTGTAGCAAAAAAAAAAAAACATAATTAATTTGTTTCATCTTCTTTTTTCATCTTTTTTTTTTTTTTTTTACTCTTACATCTAAAGTGCTAAACTCAACTCCCCGCTCTCGTAATTTTATTTTTATAAAATTACAATAAAAAAGTACCAAGTAGTACAAAGTGGGATATATTCCTTGGTGGTTTTCGGAAACACAGTCTTCAAATCCCAACACAAATAGATTAAAAATAAATTTGAGATCGACTCTCAATACATCAACAATGTTCAACATTTACCAAATAAAAAGGAAATTTAGATATATTATAGTAAATGTTGCATAAAAGAGGATTTGTCTGTTGTACCTCTCTTTATATTGTTATAACTTATTACAAGTTTTTTCCATCTTGTCTTCAACATGCATGCGAATCTAGCTTATTAAATCTTATCAATTAAAAAAATTGCTCTTCTCTAGCAAATAAAATATATCATGAAAGATTTTATTATTCACTCGAATTACGTGTTAATCGAGGTCTCTTGATAAATGTTATTACTTGTCTCCTTAACTGTAAGAAGATACTCCTCATTCATGCGAATCACAATTTGACACATATGCAAAAATAATTCATAAAAAACACAAAAAGAAAAACTTATGCACGCATATCACACTGCTATTGACAGAAATGTAAGAGCTCCTACTTACATGGTAGTCTTTTAGATACAAATTTAACGCCCGAAATTATAAATATGTAACAAATCCTTATCTTAAAGACTTATTGAAGAATCTTTTATCAAATTATATGCATCAATAATTCTCTACTAGTTACATAGAAAAAGAGGATAAATATAAAAGAATGCACTCGAATCTTACGTCATGACATTGAATAAATGGTACTAAAAAACATATTCTTAAGACCTAAAAAGTTAGTATGAAATAGCAAGCAATGACTTTTTAAGTTGGACGTCCATTGCATGAGAGAGAAAGGGGGAGAAGTAAGAAGCTTATTGGATAGGCACGTTGAGACCTAAAAACATTATTAATATATTTTTTTTCGTTAAGTGTATTGGTCCCCCAAAAACTGCTCCCCACATCCATAATTTATGTTTAAAAACTAATTGAGATATTTTTTCTTCTTCTTCTTCTGTAAGGCTTCAATTTTAGTGGTTTTACAAAAGGAGTAAAATTGTCATTAAAGGTTGAGGGTGGCGAATAGCTTTTTCGAGTGCCAACCAACCAAGATAATAAGGCAAATTATAAAGCAAAAACATAGAATTTCTATCTCTCACGCAGAAAACTTCGCACTATACTCAACAATATCTGCACTTCAACTAACTCAACTCTTTCTTTCATTTTATTTCAAATGGAAATCATACATCCGAATTTGAGACATATTTCAACACTAATATAAAAAAAAACATAATGCTTGATGAAGAGTTAATTAATATTTCTTTTATTTTGTTCACTTAGTCTCATGTGTCGATATATATTCTAAATCATTCACGCAATATAATATTAGAAAGTTAAAATGCACAATACTGTGTGATTGATTTAAAATACTGCTAAATTTTCAATACAAGTACGTTTTCCTCGTAATTACATTAAGATTATAATAAGAAGAAGGTGGTGTTGGTGGATGGTATAAATATAGAAAACTTGGAAAAGCTGAGAGAAGGCGCGGGGCGCGGGGCATAGGGTTGTGGGGGGATCTCTCTTGGAGTCTCTCACTAAACCCAACTCTCCAAAACCCAAGTCAAGTGTGCCAAAATTTGTGTAGTTGTTGTTGGTAAGCTTGTAGCTGAGTGGGGGTGCATTTTGTCAGTATGCTTTTCACACGAGTGCATCGATTTCTAAACAACACCCAACACCCCGCTAGATTCGCACTTTGCACCCCAATCCAACAAAATATATACAATAATAAATGTTCATATTATTATTATTAAATAAAGTCAGTAAATTATAAAGAAAGAAAAAGCAAAGAAAGGCACACACAAATTTTTTGGTCATTTTCTTTGTTCATTTATAAAATCATTAGCAGCATTGTCATACACGTATGATTGAAATTAAATTAAATTAAATTAAAGAGTATATGTTATTGGTTTTGCTAGAAAACAGCGGAATCCTCGCAAAGAAAGCAGGATGATTTATGGACCGTCGCTTTTGTTTTATTTATTGATTGATTTATATAAGTTGGTAATGAATAAAGTGCGAAATCAACACTGCCCCACGGCTCCCCACCATGCCAGAAAGCCATAAGCATATATACATGAGATGAGAGACCATCTTATATTATATATAATTATATAATACCCTCTTCACGGGTTCTTCAACCTTACTCCTTCTCTCTCTCTCTATATATATATACTCTTCTTTTTTTTCCATCTTTATGTGTATACTTTGTTAATTAGGTTGGTATTCATGATTTCATTTGAAAATAATGGCAAATGCCCTTTCCTTTATCTCTCTTGGTATGGAAAAGATGATTCCCCTCCCCCCCCCCAAGTTATTTAGCAATCAAATTACTTGCATCATACTTTTTAGCTTTTTTGTTGATCACAGATCATGCAAAAGTGCGACATGCATAACTTGACTTTCGTGAAAGATGTGGTTAGTAAATAACACGCATATATATAAAATTAATCGATCAATAAATGGTAATGTAAAGTATTTTGTCTATTCGTGACATTTTTTTGCTAGAATCTTCGTTCGTTTTTCACGTTGTTGTTCTTAGTGGGTGATTGATTTATTGTATTTTGTTGTGTTATCTTGCCTCCCTATATGGTCTCCATATTTGTTGGTCGCAACTTACCCAAATTTGTTTGATGGCCACTTTCGTTACCACCTTTGTTTTCTTTTACTCATACCCTTAAGAGGGAAACCAGTCTGTTGTATTTTGTAGTATTATAGTATTGCTTTAGTTGTTGTGTTGTAACTTACTCATGTTTGTTTGACTGCGGTTTATGCTAGCCTTTTTGTTGTTCTTTGGTGGTAGTTATTGTTATAATCTTTGTGTATTTTTTGTTCGTTCCCCTAATTGGGTGACCAATCTGTTGTATTTTTCCATTTCCTTATTTGTCGTGTTGTAACTTGCTTATGTTTATTTTGAGACAATATAGGTTAGATTTTGTGTTTTGTTCACTCCCCTAAGAGGATGATGGATTTTTTGAATTTTTTCGTATCTATTATTTCCTTATTTGTTATGTTGTAACTTGCTCATGATTATTTGGTGAAAGGTTTTTATTAGTATATTTCTTTATTATTTGCTCGTTCCCCTATGTGTGTGATCAATTCAGCGGCTTGTGTGTTGTGTTATCATGTTTTCTTATTTGTTATGTCGTAGTTTGCTCATGTTTGTTCAATCGAAATTTATGTTAGATTTGTTGATTATTTTTTTCGTTCCCCTAAAATGGGTAACCGATCTCTTATATTTTGTTGTATTCTCTCTTATTTCCTTAGTTTTTGTCATAACATTATCTTGATTGTTTAGTGGTAGGTTTTTTTTAGCCTTTTTTCTTTCTCATTCCCCTAAGTAGTGATAAACTTATTGCGGTTTGTCACATTCTCTTTTTTCCTTATTTATTATGTTGTAACTTGCTTGTGTTTGGCAAAAATTAATGTTATCTCCTTCGTTTCTCTTGTGACACAATGAGAAAACAGGAAATAAAGGATTCACAAACTTTACACCCAAAATCTGGACGAGTACAATGCTTAAAATTGTTTAAATAGAAAAAGAAAAAACCCTAAGACCCAATATTCTAGAATATTCCTAAATAATTATTACAAATAAAATATCTTAAAATTGAAGAAAAAAGAATATTAAAACACAAGAAAAATTCTAGACACACTAATGGATGATAAAGTTGGACTTGTTACTTTGCTGGACCGCCATTTGAACTTTGAACGTCCTATTTTGGGTAATCTAGCACGAAAGAACTTGCTTGAGTGCGAATTCTCAATCTCTATTTGGTGCATCATTTTTCCTAATTAGTAATAAACTTTGATTTACCAAAATATAAAAATTCGTTTTCTT